AAACATCACAGTGTCTCTTCCACCGAGGGAGAGAGAAGCCCACATGTCCCAAAATCTCACTTTTTAGGCAGAACGCATTTTCACAGCAGAGTGTTGCTACTGGTGGAGAAATAAAATTCCACACTACATTTACAGCGAGTAATAGCCTCGAATTCCCAGGCTCACATATTTCCCCATAAAACTTCAGGTTACTGTACAACTGGACACATCTTTTCCAGCAGGTTGGGGACCTATAATGAAACACTAACAGAAGCTGTAAGTTTCCAGTATTTTCCTTTTTTCCTGCTCTGCAATGGCTGAACACCTGTTTAATGTGCCCACAGGCAATAATTAGGAAGCAATGACGCTGCTCTTGGTTAACGTTTCATTCCCTGCTCCAGCAGCACATTCCTATTAGCAATGACCTTCCAGTTGTAGAGGATGTGGTATTTACTAATTACCAAAACAGCAAAAAGATCCCAAATCCCTTTGAATTTTTACTTTTTAAAAATGAGAACGTGCTCATAAAGAGGACAGGCTTGCTAACAAAAAATAATCTATATTCTTCTGAGGTTTGCCTCACATCTGGTCTTCAACTGCTTTGTAGTGCTACTAATTAATAGCTGTTAATTAAGAAATGAAAGTGTTGCCATTAGTTGTTGGGAAGAAATGGAAACTTCTTCTGGCTCAATTCCTTGCTCTGAAGTTCAGTCCAGAGGTGATCTGGGTGGAGCCATTGGGACAAGAGAAATAAAAGCTTAAGAAAGGGGCACTCAAAATCAGGGCTTTGATTTTCCCAAGCAAGTGATTTATTTGGTTTATTTGGTTATTGACCTTTTTATTATGTTACCCAGAGAGGTTGTGGCTGTCTCATCCTTGGAAGTGTCCAAGGCCAGGTTGGATGGGGCTTGGAGCAACCTGGGATAGTGGAAGGGGGAACCATGGCAGGGAGTGGAACAAGATGGTCTTTAAGGCTTTAAGGTCCCTTCCAACCCAAACCTTGCTGGGATTCTATGACTGTCTTTGCAGAGAAGCAGAAAACAGAATGAGATCAGCCAGCATCAAAAACCTGAATAAATGGTGGGATTTGTCTCAGCCTGTTTAGGCAGCGATGCACAAAGTCTCCCATGCCTTGTTCTGGCATCCCTGCCCTCATCACCCTGCTGTGTCCTTGCTCTCCAGGCTGTCACAGCAGCTGGAGAGGGTGGAAGTGTCTGTGTCCACTGCTGACAAGCACCTCATGCATCCCTTTGGGTGCTGGTTCCTCCCCGGGCCATGAGTGCTTTGGAAAAGCAGCGGAATCCGACTGAGTGCCAACCACCCTGCGGGAGATGTGGGGAGAGGAGCAGCATCAGCAACGTCCTTCCCTGGCAGCTGAAAGGTCAAGTAGGCTCAGGGTGGACCAGCCTTCTCCAATTAAATGTCCACACGTTACAGCACTTTGATTCTTTTGGATTTTTGCCTCTTTTCTTCACACTTTGCGTTTTTGTGGAACAATGCTTGGCTTGGAAAACACTTTATTTATCAGGCACTGCTGCTGTCAGCTCTCCAAAGTCATCTTTAATATCCAAGAGAAGGACAGATAAGGGTCCACACTGCTAATGCAGTTAAAGTCCTTGGATCCAGAGGAAGATCCAGGCCGGAGCACAGGGATGGCCTGCAGCACCTGCCGGAATGTGGCAAGGGCAGGGAGGCTCTTGGCCAAGAGGGTGCTGGAGAGACATCTGTGGGATCTGCAGTGGATCCATGTTCCCAGAAGACAGTTCCCTAGGAGCACTAGGCATGGATGGATCATCTGGCCCTCATTAACTGGCCTGGGAGCCCCTGGGGTGGCATCTCCTCAAGCTCCTGGACCAGATCCTGCAGAGAATCCCAGAAACCCCCCAGTGCCACATCCACACCTTTTCTGAACACCTCCAGGGATGGTGGCTCCACCACTGCCCTGAGCAGCCTGGTCCAATGCCTGACCACCGTGTCAGTGAAGAAATTTTCCCTAATATCCAACCTGAGCCTCCCCTGGCACAGCTGGAGGCCGTTCCCTCTCCTCCTGTCCCTTGTTCCCTGGGAACAGAGCCCGACCCCCTCCAGGTCCCTGCTCCTGTAGGGAGTTGCAGAGAGACAGAAGGTTCCCACTGATGCTCCTCTGTTTCTAAGAGGGTGTGAGTGCTGGGAGGAGGGATGTCCCAAAGCCTGCTTGGCCTTCAGCTTCCAGTCCCCACCAGAAGAGCTGACTGGTTCAGCTGATCCCTCTGCGATGTCCTTTGAGGTCCATCTCTCACAGTCCTTAGGAAGGAGCTGCATTTTATCACTCCCTTGTCATAAAACAACTGCTCCACTCTGTATTTTCTGGCTCTCATAGCCTCAGCTGCCCTTGCCTGTTTGATATGTACAGCACAGCAGCATCCAGAAGTCTCCAGTATAATTTACAATCCAAACAGAGAAGGTGGGGGGAAAAGAGACTCATTAATTTGCCCCAAGTTATGCAATAATGCAGAGTGAATAAACGCAAATCTCTGACTGCACCTTAAGATAGGGATAATAATCAATCAAAGCCTCCCTTGGTATGAAGAGGGCTGCAAGCAGAGCCCCCACTGTGCTGCTGTACTTCTGGCAGAGCTCAGAGCTGCCAGACCAACAGCTCAAGGCGGAGTGGCACTTTTATCTCCCTTTTTGCTCAGGCCATCTGGTCCCTCTCTCCTGTATTTTGTATTTATTTCTGATTTTGTAATACATGCTGCAGCTTTGCTCTGTCAAACTGTTCAACTGTGACCTGTTCCTAAATACACAGAAAGGAAGTTTGTAAAACAGCTCGAAAACAATGCTGGAATCATCCAGATTATGATAATTAAACAAGCAAAGATCAATTCTAATCCACTCTAAAGCCACTAATTCTCAATCCTTCAGAAATTCGAGCATCCACATCCAACAGTTTATCATTTTGCTGTCGTTTACCCTAAAGATATCCTATGTCAACTGAAAAATAAGGTGCTGTGAAACCTGCCAGTCCCAGCTTGAATCACTTGTCAAGAAACCAAACACAAAGCACAGTCTGCGGAGTGTGACAATTCCTGAAAACCTCAGGAATCAACACTGGTCCCTCTCCAGAATGTTTGAGAGGGTCTCAGAGCTGAACCAGAAAGTTCTGGGGTTGTTTCCATGTCATTTCTGACATTGAAGAAAACAAGAAACTGCCTTTGCTGCCACCAAAAGTGGTTTTTTAAGACAGTGCACATGTAAGAATTTCCCAGGAATGCAGCACTGCTATTCCTTTGGAAAGAGAAACGAGGCTGTTCAGCTAATCCTGAGGAGTTCACAAGGAGGAAAAGACACCATGGGTTACTCAGTTGTCATCTAAGGGTAGTAAGGGATACAAGTCACTTCTTACTGCAAGGGTTTTTAAACGTACTGAAGTAACATTCCCACCTCCTGGGATAAAACTGGGGCTCAGGAATCTGAGAATGCTTTGGGTTGGAAGGGATCTTAAAGCTCAGGGACACCTTCCACTAGCCCAGGTTGCTCCAACCTGCCCTTGGACACTTGCAGGGATCCAGGGGCAGCCACAGCTTCTCTGGGCAACTTGGGCCAGGGCCTCCCCACCCTCACAGGGAACAATTCCTTCCATATATCCAACCTAAATTTCCTCTCTTTCAGTTTGAAGCCATTCCCCCTCGTCCTGTCACCCCAGTTCCTCATGAACAGTCCCTCTCCACTTCCCTGTAGCCCCTTCAGACCCCGGAAGGTGCTGTGAGGTCTCCACACAACCTTCTCCACTCCAGGCTGAACATTCCCAGCTCTCCCAGCCTGTCTCCACAGGGGAGGTGCTCCAGTCCCCTCAGCAACTTGGTGGCCTCCTCTGGACTTGCTCCAACAGCAAGTTTGCTCCAGCAGCAACCTCCACGCCCTGACAGGTTTGAAATTACGGTCACAATGGACACATTTGTATTTGCTGCATTACCTAAATTACACTTCATACCTCTGAACATCCCCAATAAATTATAGGGAGCAGCAGGAATAATCTCTCTCTTGAAAAATCCTTCAGCAAAGGATTATAATTAAATGTAAAGTTTATCATTTTGCACTGTTCCTTCGGATTCTTTGTTTCAGGATTAAATACGAAATTAGGAGAAGTCTGGCAGTATTTTGCTATTTTTCATTTCTTAAAGTTATGGCTTCAAAACACTAATGCTCTAATGATGAGGATAAACAGAATGTATATCATGAATTTTTGTCTGAACTCCCTAAAATAGCCGAGCAAGCCCCCCATTAGGGCCTTGTGAAGACCATTTACATTAAATTTCTGTGTTCTCATTTCCTGCAGTACTTGGACTTGAAAATATCTGTACAAAGCCCAATATATTTCAATGCTGATTGTGACACAACATTGGCATCCTGAGCACACAGTGCAACTCCTTCATATCCTGAGGCTGGTTGCAAGGACCCTATCCCTCACTCCCTGTTATTCTACGGATGTCAAATTTATCACTTTGTATCATTATATAGATGCCAAATTAATAAACACATTCTCTGTAACGGAATTTAACAAACTAATCAGCCTGTGCCCCATTTTTTTTGTTGTTTTTATTCAATTTTAAGACACTAAAGTTGAAGGTATTAAATTGTCAGAGGGTAAACTTTATCAATTCATCCTCTGTAATAAGAGTAATCATCATCTGCACTTCTAACGTCGAAGAGGTCGAATCTGACACACAAATGGTGCAGACGATCAAAACACGCTCCAAGAGGCTGGAGGAAAATTAACCACGAGCCCTGGTGATCCCAGTCACAATTCCAAGGCCCAACATTTGTTGTTTATCCCAGTGACCGACATGTTTATCCAAAAGACTGACATGTTCAGCAGCTTCTGAGAGCATCATTCCGAGCAAACCTTTCCTCACGGTCCCTGTCACCTACAGCCCAGATCTTTCCAGCTGTAGACAACCTGTTAAGACCACAGTGTTTTCATAGCCCAGCATTCAAGAGGACCTACAAAAGAGCAGTGAATAAATGAATAAATATTTTACCTGTATTCATCCTGTGTGAAGCGTGGGATGACCGAGGGCTGCAGCACAGTAATTTCTACCGTTGTGGTGTTGAACTTCACCGGGTCCCCATCATCATATGCAATGACCACCAGCTGTTAACAACAGAGAAAACCACTCCCTGAGCAGAGACAAGGACATTTTTCACATTGACTTGCAGCAACACTAGCACTTTCAGGGTCTAACAAATTGGATGAGATTTTCTTTCACTGCAAATCATAACTTGCGTAAGAACAAAACACGGGGGAAACAGGTGACAGCGTCCACAGGTTGAACCCTCCGCTAGAAGATTTACAGGAACACAGTAAATTGGAATCCAAATAAAACTGCCTTCCACAAATACTCTCCAAAACACATCGCCAGCTTCAAGGACATTTCTCGGGGGGTTACTTTCACATCTAATGAAGGCCCTTATCCAGCACTCTGGAAGCAATTTAAAATTTTATGGTGTAGAGAGGTCCATGTTTAGGTAATTTTTTATAGAAAAATCACTTATATAGGTTTTGGCAGAGGGGATGGAAAGTGCCTGTTGGGAAAGGCCCTGGGGGTGCTTGTGACAGTGGCTGGGCACTGCTGAGGGACCTCGAGGGCTGGGCCCAGTTCTGGGCCCTCAACAGGAGAGACCCGGAGGGGCTGGAGCGTGTGCAGGGAAGGGAACGGAGCTGGGGAAGGGGCTGGAGCAGCAGGAGCGGCTGAGGGAGCTGGGGGGGCTCAGCCTGGAGAAAAGGAGGCTCAGGGGGGACCTTCTGGCTCTGCAAGTCCCTGACAGGAGAGGGGAGCCGGGGAACAAGGGACAGGAGGAGAAGGAACGGCCTCCAGCTGTGCCAGGGGAGGCTCAGGTTGGCCAGGAGGAGGAATTTGTTGCTGGAAAGGGTGGTGAGGCCTTGGCAGGGGCTGCCCAGGGAGGTTTGGAGTGCCCATCCCTGGAGGTGTCCCAGGAAGGCCTGGCTGTGGCACTGAGTGCTCTGGGCTGGGGGACAACGTGGGCATCGGGCACAGGGGGGACTCCATGGTTGTGGAGCTCTTTTCCAACCCAAATGATTCTCTGAGTCCATAAATCCCAAGAAAACAAACAGAGAAAGGGCTGCGTAAGAATTCTGTGGTGCTGACATTAATATCTAGAACCGAGGGCTTAGAACAAAACAAAAAATGAACATTACTCTCCTCCAACTCCCCCCCAAAAAATACCCTCTGGGACATACATGTTCACTTGTTTTCAGCTTTCACACAAGATATGAGATCTGCCAGTTAATGGATATGACACCAGCCCACTGAAGTTGAAGCAATGGACAGTTTTGCAGTTTCCTCTGCCTAAATTTGTCCTTATTTCCCGAGATCACTCGGTGGAGCAGGTCAGTGCCTCACTCCAGCACAGCATTTTCAACTTATTCCTGCCAGTCCAAGCTATTCCCACAACAGCTCAGTGATGAGACAGCTTAAAACAAAAGAAGACAGGTTTTTTCCCCCCCAGCCAACATACTGGGGAACTCACCACTGCAAGATACCATAATTACAGAGAGTATCAGGATGCTGAACAGGGATTGGAAAAATTCCCAGAGGATTCAGCACCAGATACAAGCCCAATGGTCAAGATGCAAATACCAACTCCAAGTCTTCTCATCACTCATTTCTGGAGTCTTCCCTATGCTTCTTCCCTAAGGACTCATATTTTCTGTAAAGTAATGCTCTGCTGAATTCACCATTTATAGAAATGGTGCTCCGTGCCCACGTGCACCTCACCTGGGATGGATCTCAGCTTTGGAAAACAGCTCCAAAATAGGTCCTGAGAAGTAAAAATAACAAGTGCAGCCACAGTGGAGTGACACTCTAATGATGTTAGCCAAGAGATAATCCTCTTTCCCCCTGAGATTTCCTCTGTTAGTTAGAAACTGAGGAAACACCAGCACTGTCCTAAGGTGCTCAGGCAAGGACAGCAGTAGGAGGCTGCTCCAGCTCAAGCAGTGCTTGATGGGACACTCAGGAGTGGAAAACAGTGGACAGCTTTATTCCTTGTAATGGAAAAGCGTACAAATAAACCTCACTTTAATCCTCATTTCAAAAATAAACAACTGGAGGAAGAAACAAACCACACCTTCATGACCACAGGGAAGGCTGGCAGTTCTAAGGTTGGGAATTACATATAAAGCCAGGATATCAAAGACAATACTGTTTTTGCTTACTGACACAAATCTATTTGCATTTTTAACTACACCCTACACTGAAGGATCTTAGAGGGAGATCTGTCCCAATGACTTTGATTCAAATCATACCTTACTCCACACTAACTACACTCCAGACTCTTCAGGATCAGTAACAACACAATAGGAATTTCTTAAAGTCAATATTTTTGCATTAAAGCCCTTGTGAACAGGAACTCCCAAACTATCCAACTGTGCAGTAACTTTCTTTAAAGGATATCTTGCTATTCTTACAAAGTTCTCCCAAAATTTCTATTCAGACAGCCCTGATGAAAACGAACTTTGGAAAAACGAGTGTTCCCTCAGCTGTCTCCCTGTTCCTCCTTCCCTCCTAATCAGTGCAACCACAGCCATTCAAGACATTCCTGAAGTCAGAATGGCACGAAACACATGCCAGGAGAAAAAAAAAACAAACCACAAAATCAAGGAACAAACAAAATTGAAATTTCACATCTTTAGCCAACTGAAGGTTGGACTTGATGATCTGTGATGATCCCGTGATCTTTCTATGTGGTACAAGGAAACAGAGGACAAACATGAAGGGGAAAGGGAATGCAGGGAGTATTTCCAGGCACTACAACGACACGAGTCTGTACCTTGAACACTGTGCTGGGCTCCTCATTGAGGTTCACTCGGGTCACGACACGTCCTGAGTTTTCCTCCACGTCAAAAATGCTGGCACTGTAAGGGAATTGGACAACATCCACTTTGTACCGGACCCGACTCGCTGGTGTGCCCTGGAAGGCAAAAACAAGGCAGCTGCAGCATTCCTGTGTTTTGATACAACTCATGAAATCACTCAAGGGTTAAAATGCAACGTTTTTAAGACCATCACTAACAAAACTTCTGTTTGTCTTCCTCATAACTCACTGAGCGATCCTCTGTCTCCCCCCAAAAGACCTTAAATTTTCCAGCAAGAAAAATAACCAGAGGTTCAGAGAGAAAAGACCTGAACCCTCCACCCACTTAAACACAGAAACAGTGTCTGTTTTATAACAACTGAAATTGTTAAATAGAAGATGGGTAGAGCTTAAGGTTGCCTAAAATACCTTTCAAAAATGATTTAACATGTTACAAAACTCATTGGAAGTTCATGAAACTTAACAGCAGTAACAGAAATTGCAGTTTTGCAAACGAATTTTAAGTAGCCCTGTAATGAACCCTCCTCACTCTTCAGACCCTGTTTCAGTGACAAGGAACAAGCAGAGGTAGCCCATGAGCGTGTCACAAACTGTCTGAAACACCAAATCCAAACGGGAATCAGAAGCAGCATTGCCAGAGGAGTGTACAATGGATGAACTTTTCAGATCAGTAACACAGCATTTTCTGATAGAAGGTATTTACCTGATTTAACTGTTTTAACACTACCTGCCTAAAGAAAACCCCCATTTATTGAGAGAAATGTAGTTTCTTAAGGTATCCATTATATTCCAATGATCCCATTCCAGCAGTCATCCTCCAGGCACCTCAGAGTCATAAGGTTGGAAAAACCTTTAAGGTCATTGAGTCCAACCACTAACCCAGCCCTGCCAAGCCCACCAGCCCCATGTGCCACATCTCCATGTTTTCTGAGCACTTCCAGGGATGGGACTCCACTACTTCCCTGATCAGATTGTGCCAGGCCTTGACAACCCTTCCTGTGAAGAAATTTTCCCTAATATCCAATATGAACCTCTCCTGGCAGAGCTGGAGGCCGCTCCTTCTCCTCCTGTCCCTTGTTCCCTGGGAGCAGAGCCCGACCCCCCCCCGGCTCCCCCCTCCTGTCAGGGACTTGCAGAGCCAGAAGGTCCCCCCTGAGCCTCCTTTTCTCCAGGCTGAGCCCCCCCAGCTCCCTCAGCCGCTCCTGCTGCTCCAGCCCCTTCCCCAGCTCCGTTCCCTTCCCTGCACACGCTCCAGCCCCTCCGGGTCTCTCTCATGTTACTGGACACAGTCCTGGAGGTGTCCCACCGTGCCCAGCACAGGGATGGGCACTGCCCTGGATCTGCTGGTACCCAATAAATGATGGAGAATCCCCTTAGCCCTCTTCCTCTTGCTGATACAGAAACACTTTTTATTGTCCTTTATGGCAGTAGCCAGAGAGGTTCTAACATGGCTTTGGCCCTTTTCCTTCCACACCCTCAGGAACCTCCTGGAGCATTTTCTCTCTTCTGTGTTGTATTTCCAGCAGACATCTGGTAAGTGGAAGTCCCAAAGAGAACAAGGACTTGCAATAGTGAGACTTTTCCCAGCTACTGGTAGAACATTTCATCTGCTTCTTCATCCTGGTTTAGAAGAGACTCCCCCCACGACATCAGGCCTTCCCCTGATTCTCTTCTCACACCAACATCTGAAGAAGAATTTTTCAGCAGCCCAAAGTCTTTGTGTCCTGGTTATGCAGACACTTGGGACATTTTACAAGACTCAAGCTAAGTTATTTGCTAAATATATTTGGGAGTAGATTCACAGAAGCACTTAGAAACTCATGTCCTATCATTGCCACGATTTCATGTTCTTAATGCCTCAGAGTCTGGATCTCAGATTGGGTTTTGACCTTTACAATGGATTTAAACAGCCAAAACATCCGAGCCCACGGTTTCATTAGTGGAGAATTAGTGATTTTCATCTGTATTCAGTAATGTGCTACAAAGCAGCTTTGTTGTTATCCAGAATATATTCCATGTCAGCTACTAACTACAAGGAACCAGGGCATTTCCTTTTGTAAACAGCAACAGAAATGGCTCCAAAGTGCTTTAAGCTCATGAAATCCTATCGACATTTTGCTGATCTAACTAAAGTCCTTTGACTGTTGCCTCTTGGAGCCATCCAAGGAACTTCAGCCCAGACAGAGTTTTTCAGAATTATGGAGGAGATTCAGAATTCCAGGGTAAAAAGCAGCTGCAACTCCCTGGATGGACTGAGGTCGACCTGCTCCCCAATCCAATGATAAAGATCTGCTCAGAGGAACAGATGGAGAGAGGAACAAACTTCGTGGCCTCCTCCATTGAAATTCCAGCAGAATGGGGAAATATTGTGGTACTGAGACCACACAGCACCTGTCTGCCAAGGGAATCAAGGTGTTCTGCTGCTGAAACCAACAACCATATCAAACCCCCTCCCATTAAATACCCCAATCAGAAATAAAAGGTATTTATGACTAGAGCCACTCAAACCACACCCAAACATAAACAAAAGAGCACAAAAGTGAGTTGGGGAGAGGGGGAAACTGGGAGAAGACTCCACCAATACTGCTGGGGTCAGTCAAGGGGCTGAGCCCATCTTCCACAGGGACACCTTGGGTGAGAATTATACCCTAAATGCTGCTTTTAGGACTGGAGCTTGTGTTTGTGCTCAGCCCATGGCACGTGGGTAGACTGCTCTGTATCAGAGCTTGTCCTGGCTTAATCTCTGTACCAGTAGATTGATTTAAAACCTATTTTTGTAGGCAGAAACTCTCCCCGACAACCTTCAATCCTCACTATGAGACACTGACTGGCAGACTGGGGGACATCAGGGTCTGGAATCTCCTGGGGGAACCCACAGGCAAAAATCCAAACTCCCCCCTTACACGTGACAGGCAGAATCAGCATCTTTAACCATCCAGACCTGGGTCTGCCCAATGTGTTTGGGTGTTCAGCAAAGTAACACAGGGAAGGTCACGTTAACAGTTAAAAGAACTTCACAGGCCCATGAGTGCTAAGAGTGTAAATCCTTGGAAATGTGAGAAATTCCCAAGATCACAACATAACAGAGGCCATTATCAACTTTCCTGCTGGCATTCTCTGCTTCAGTCATTTTCTTCAACATTGTAATTAAGAGCAAATTACCTGCTGAAATCCAGTCTATTTGGTCTCAGAGTAATGGCCCTCACATTGGCTTGGAAGACTAAGAGCTCTCATCATCATTAAACCTGCACACCTTGGGTAATTTGGTATTAAATAAACAAAACTCTCATCAGGTTATTGTTCCTGCTCTGACTGTCAAGTACACTTTGCCCCTGCCATTGCTGAAAAATAACAAAACTGGGATTTATTTTTTATTTACGGTATTTTGGCACCGATGTAATTAGAACAACCTCCAGAGAGATTTCCCAGGGAAATCTCTTTAGAAGCAAGTTTTAATTATCTGAAATATTAATCATCTTTTGCCTCTGCTCTAAATTAATTTAGATACATTATTATGTCTGCAGCAAAACTTGAATAGAGCAGATCCTATTCTCAAATAAACCACGGAGCAAGGATTGTACTTGGCAGGAACCATGTTCGTTCTCTCAAAGCAAAGTGTCCCTGAGAGTTCAAGACACAACACTTTAAAAAAGCTCATCCAACTTCAATTATTTCTTTCATGGTTTGTTATTCCATAAGTTTCCATTTGCTCTGGGGAAACAACATTCATTTGTGGCCCAGCTTGACAGGGACAAGCAGGGCCCCAATATTTAGGTTCGATGAAGAGGCTGCTCCTGGGAAAGGGGCCATGGATGAAGCACATGTGCACTGTCCAGGTAACTCCCAACAGGCACAGAGAGGTTGCAGAGAAATTGTAATCCAATAAAGGGAGGAAAAAAAAAAGAGAAAGCGAAACACAACAATTTCTGGGTGTTTTCAGGTGTATTTCTGCAAGCAACTCAAGAGGAAGCCAGGAATTGCTACTTCCACTCTCTAGGAAAGGAAGGCTGGAGCCCCTCTGCTCTGGAGCCAGCCTGGGAGAGCTGGGGGTGTTCACCTGGAGAAGGGAAGGATCCAGGGAGACCTGAGAGCCCCTTCCAGGGCCTAAAGGGGCTCTGGGAGAGCTGGAAAGGGACTGGGGACAAGGGATGGAGGGACAGGACAAGGGGGAATGGCTTCAAACTGACAGAGAACAGGTTTAGATGAAATATTGGGAAGGAATTGTTCCCTGGGAGGGTGGGGAGGCCCTGGCACAGGTTGCCCAGAGAAGCTGTGGCTGCCCCTGGATCCCTGGAAGTGTCCAAGGCCAGGTTGGACGGGGCTTGGAGCAACCTGGGCTAGTGGGAGGTGTCCCTGCCCATGGTAGGGGGTGGCACTGGATGATCATTAAGGACCCTCCCAACTCAAACCATTCCATGATTCCAGGGTTCAAATGGATAACACATATGAAACCAGAATGACTTGGCCCAGCAAAGAACGGGGAAAAAATGAATTTCACTTTCATTCATTTGCAGTCAACTGGTGAAGATCCCGGATGTGTCTCTGGTCAGTGACGTGGATTTCATTCCCTAAATAAAGTCCAATTATGGGATGGCAGCATAATGAAAGCAGAGCTGTCTATCAAGTCTCTCTATTCCCAATGCCTCTGTCTGACTGAAGTCAAAAAGCTTCTGAGGCTCTTAGAGATAAAACGTGAACTTTGTGAGGAGAGTAATAAATTGCCTCCATCCATAGACCTCAAAACAAATCCGAGTGACTTGCATAAAGCAGAGTTCAATAAAGCAAATTTTGTAAAGTTAATTCTAGGAAAAAAGTTGGGAAGTGATGCTAAACCCAAAAGGTACAGGCTTTTGTAACATGCTCAAAGTCCCCATGAAAGATGGGGCAGATGGGAGCAGCGGGATGACTTTGGTGGGTCTTATCCCAGCTCTGGGTTGTGAGTGGGTTTTATTCCTTAGTAGGGAACTCAGCAAAAAGGCCTGAAGTTCTGAATTACTAAAGCTGGAAATTCTGAATTCTTAAACTCTTACAAGCTGAACACAAAAAGAACATGACCCTCTAAAGCCTTGAGATGAAATGATTTGAAGAACCCATGG